AATAATTTAAAAACAGCCTTGTGTGCGTATCTAGCTATATCAACATATACAATTCTAATCAGTGAACTACTTCACCGAGTCTAATAAAGATAAGATATAAGAAGCGGAAAAACAAAAATCTAAATTTTCATCATCCCTACCAGAGTTGGAAGGTCTCACAATCCTATTTGCTGCAAAGCTAAACATGCTAGTACAAGAAACGTCTGCTCATTCACCTGTGCAGGCACACTCACAAGAATTAATGTTTCATTCCTGATTTTCAAAACTGGGAACTAAAAAAAGGATTACTTGTTAGAAGATTATTTAGTGTAAATTACCTAACAAGGATCTTACCTTACAGCATTCTTCATATCAAACATCCTCCTCTGTTCGAAAGATACTGAAAAATTTTCTCTGAAATCTTTACCTCTAAAAATATCGTTTCTGTGACAAAATAAAGGAATACTTGCTATGAAGCGTCAAACATAAATTATAAGCGTTTCTTTAAATGTCCTTTACTTTATTTCAAAGAGTAATCAATTTCAGTTTACCTGGATAAACACCTTTACAGTGCCGAAAAGTCCGTAACATATGTGCTACCATCTGCTGAAAATAGAGAATAACTAATACCCCTAACAATTTTCTTTATTTGACTGCCAAAACAAAATTTCACAAGCACATGAACTGGTTTAGAAAGTTAGCTCCGTTTTTTGGGTGACCAATCATTCAAAAACTACACTACTGAAAATCCCAAAAGATGCTGATAGATAACAGAAAATTGGGCTTCAAATTAGCAGACTTTGCATCGAAAATACAGACTTGACACACATTTCCAACAACGCCAAGACATTTTTAAATGTACAAATGAGGAATCGAAATTTAGAGATTTTAGTATCACTGTTATTTTAAACCGTCTTTTTCCCTGTATTTTAAGATTTTTTGTTAGTTTAACCAACACCCATCCATTCCCGAATCATTGAACAGTAGATTAAAAACCTGTTTTCTTGTGGAAAAGAGGTTTTTAGATCAAAACTACGCCGCAGATTTTAGAGCTGGCTACCAAAATCTGATTAAATTGAAACTTGCAATCGACTGAAAGCTTAAAAGTAATTTTCTTATATGACATTTTTTACTACACATCAAAAAAATTCCTTTTCTCAGGAAGCAAAGAATTTTATCTTAAAAAACGTACCATTTTTTCAAAGTTGACAAGATCTCCAAAAAAAGTCTTGTTTCCTTCATGAATGAATGTTAAATCTTTGAGCAACAAGGGTACAAATGGTATTGTAGGAGGTACCATTTTCGCCACCAACATCCGATACGCACGATGATTTCGAGACGGATCCAATAAAGCCTCAAATTCTGCATATTGTCGTCGTAGTTTTGCCGGTAATTTCTGTAAAGTAAATTGTTTCTTTCAAAGATGTGTTTGTCAGCCTAAAGTCAAAAACGCGACATCTTTTTGAAGCTGTTACTTGGTTGAAAACATTTTACAAATATTTTGTGCCTTTTAACTACTGTCGACTTACTATTGCGCGACCATGCTAGAAGAAGCTTTTGAAGTTAAAATATTAATTAATCACATTTTAGGTATTCCGTGTTCAAACTTACATTCCACAACTGCGAAAGCCGACTTACTGCAATATTACTCAAACCTAGCGTTATAGCAAAGAGTGACATTAGGTCTCGATTCTCTTTAGAACTGTAAATTGTTTAACAATTATATATGCATAACTTCATTTATAATGAGATAAAATCAGCGCCAGCCAGCTTTCTGCTCTAAAATTTGTTTGGAAACCCCTAATTGTCATATTTTATTAAGCAATGAATAATCTATCCGAACAGTTAAGCAATAACTTTTTTCTTTGTTTCCTGGCTTTTATGGCGGGATAGATTGACTGACACTTACTAAGCAGCTATTTTTATCAATTTTTTAAGGGTTGCTAGACGCCTGGACGGCCCTTGAGCTAATAGAACCTCCGTTGTAGCCCAAAACTGTACTTCATTGAACCGTCGTAGCAATAAGTCTAAATTTGCTGGAATCCAACCAGGAAATTGATTACGACCAAATACCTATAAATTTTTACATATTCTTGTTTTTTCCTTTTCAAAATCAGAAAACCATCAACCCTCACTAAATACACAATTTAACTTTAAGATTTCTGATACAGAACCTGTGTAACAAGTTCGATTTCACTGGTAGCTTCAAATAACTGCATATGAAAGACGAAAAGCTGATGAGCAATTTCTAAACTGCTGAGATTTTCAAGTGTAGAATAATAATATGCTGGATCCGGTTCATACTGTCTTGGCATCGGAGGCTGAATAATTTACGAATATCTTTCTCTTTCTCATACTTTCTTACTAGTTTGCTAAATGCTTTTTACATACAAAAAACATCAGTTTTTTTTACTACTTTGTAACAGTTTTTTCCATCAAGTACAAAGAGAAAACACCATTATTAAATTCCTTAATATTGGAAAAACCCGATCAATAACTGTTTTTCTTAATAGTTTGCAGAAGAAGTATAAACCTCGAACATACATTTAAAAACTTTTGAACGTGCAATTTTTACAACGAAATACCAGGAGCAAACCAAAAAGTTTTAGCTACAAGAATAAGAAGTTTTCAAAAATAACATTTACATATGGCAGATCCACATAAAATTCAGTTTTTAATCAAATGGTTAGCATGAACCAAACACCAGAAATTTACATCTGACTAAAATTACGCAAAAATTCTGGAAAACTCGGTTTGTTTAACTGTATTTAAGTAATTATCAGAACTGCTAATGTACCATGCACCTTAGGTAAATTGATGTTTTTAAGCCTCTTTTGCAACAGCAATTCGGTGAGTTAAATGCAACTGAAAAAGACGCATTACCAGATGTGAATCATTATCGGTATATGTTAGATACAGCCGACTGTTTAGGAATAACATTGTTGGAATACCAACTTCTGAGGGTGACAGGACAATTCGTTCTAAAAAAGACAAAAGTGGTCCACAAAAGAAGACTGGTAAGTAAGAAAATTTAGTCTTTAAAAGCTTGATAAAAAGAGAAAAATTAGCTTTGTCAACGCGCAACAAAAGCAGAAGATATTCTAGTTTATTTGAACTAAGAAATTAAAAACTTTTCAGCAGATACAGATGAATGATTTCTTTTAATTCCTTTAAGAAAAAGAGCCCTTTCCCCACATATGCACTATTTCTTTCTCCATCTGTATTAACATAAAAAGCAAAAAAAGTAAAAAAAAATTTCTGCATTCATCGTTGTTAATTTTGTCTTGCTAGGATAATTCTTTATTTTAAAGGCTTTTTCCTTGACCATCTCGAAGCCTTTTTAGAGGGTAAAACTTCGCTACACAGTTTACTTTTGAGCGCCGGAAATACATTTTTCCCAGCCTCAACAACTTTTTTATGTTAAATTGCTTTATGGATATAACAGCGATGTTTGCCAATCAAAAAATAGCTTCAAAAATTTTTCGTTTGAAGAGTAATCCAAAAATTTTTAGTGTTTTGACAGCATAATGACATAAAAATCTGTTGAATTCCAGCACCATAAATTTCAAACCCTCCCACCCTGACTCAATAAGATTTTTCTTCCCCAGTCGCTGTTCCAAAACGAGTGGTGTTCTTAAGTTTATTTTTTGACTTCACGTCTAACTCATATTTCGTTCAATTTCATATCGATTGCCACACCGTTTAATTTCAAGTTCTGATTACTTTCCACCCGTAATCCTTTTCACTTTTCAACATTTGATTTCTAAAATAATAACAATGGATATTCTTCTGTAATAAAAAGCCTTTCTTGACCAGCAAAAAAGACGTCATCTAACTCTTGAATCTGACTTTAAGATCCCTACATATACTTTGAAATAAGCCAAGTTTATTTTATAAAAAAAGTTCCACCTTAAATAACAAAAAAATTTGTCACCTCCACTGCTTTTAACCTCAACTAACTGGAATTCCTCATTTGGTCCACCATAGTGCAACTTTGTCTTTGCAAGTTCGCACACTTCTGCTGCCGTTTTATCCAGTCGTAAACTTAAAGTAATTGGAGCACTATTTAGGACATAGATCACCTGCTCACCTGCAAAAGTTTAACATTGAAGTTAAGGCAAGGTGTCAGCATCTAACAACAATAAGGCCAATATCTGCTTACAAGTGTCAAAGGGAAGTATTGGATTGGGTGCTGGAGCCTCAACATTGTATGTACCACGCTCCAATACAACAGTTGGATGTCGATTTAAACTTTGCATTGCGTTCTCACGAAACTGTCTAATTTCTAACATTTTTTGAAAAACTGACTGCATTCCATCCAGGCACTTACTATCCTCCAAAACACAGCAGAAAAGTTCCTAAAATATAAAAAAAGAGTAGAGAGAAACTTTAAAAAAATAGTCTATTTTACTTTTAAAAGTGTTAAGTTTCAGCTTAAAAGTAGCATTTCAGAAAGCCAATAAATCTATCAAAATAAAACAAAAATAGTGCTGAGCAGAGCCTTTCGATAGCTTGATAATAAAGCAGTGCTTTGGAGAAGCAAGTGAATTGCACCCGTATCCCATCTAAGGCTTAAGTAAAACCGTTAGAAAAAAATTAATAAGTAGATAGATGTGAATAAGAGAAAAGTAACTTCACACCACTTAAATTTAATTGTCTGAGATGATTATTTACCTCAACAAAACTATTGGTAGCAGAATTAAGAAAAAAATGCAGTCCCAGAGTGTTTATCCACAATTCGAGAAATGCAACAACTCTGTGTTTCGCAGCTATTACATGATCAACATTATCGTACGATATGTCAGTTTCAACAACATTCTAAAAAAAATGACGCACTAATTTCTTTTAATAGAACTTAAAGAAAATAAACTCCACGAAGTAGTATACCCAATTTTTTCTAAGTCATCAGTAAACATCACTTTTTCTTTTACTGCATAGTACATTCGACTAGTAACTCGTTAAAAAAGTAATTATAAAATTACCGCATTTGTCGACTGCTGCATGTAATAAGTCTTTAAGTATTTACAGAGGACATTGGGAGGAATGTAAATTGAATGTGTGAGTAGAAAGTCTTCCAAAATTGTATCGATACTACCGTCATTGATTTGAGCGTCAACTCGAGTTTCTAAAAGATAATCAACTATCTTCTCTGGAACTCCTGCCATCACAGAATAGCTGAAAAAATGTTGATAAAATCTTGTCGAGAACAAAAAAAGCTTTACCAATCTTTTCATATTTAATAATTTTTTTAAATATTACCAAAACACTCCTTCACGTCAGAAGTAAATATTGTAATCAAAATATATATATTATAAAATTAAGGTAGATTGTAGATCTTACCAACACTGATGTTCTTGGTTACTCGTCTCGCCAACAAATGAATCTGCATACATCCGATGTTTATAGCTGGTGTTCAACTTCTCCAGCACAAGCACGTCCTGACCGTGTTCCTTCAAGCGTACAGTATTTGCCTCAACATCTCGTAAGATCCTAAACCGTTTCCTGGTTAAATGCTAATCGATTAACTTGAAAATTTCATAACACGATATAAAAAATTACATCTAAATACAGTGACAGTATATGACATTTGACCAACATAAAAAAAATAAGCTGGAAATTTAAAACCTATTGAAGTCGTCTTTATCAACCCGTAAAAACTGTGCATTGTCTTCACGTAACGAAATTGTCGCTGCTCGGGGAGCATCATTCACTAATGCTAATTTTCCAAAATCGTCACCTTCTTGTAGCACGCAGACGACACCCTATAAAAATTAGTGTTTTACTTTACCATTAAATTGGTCGCAATAATTGTTTTTTCACATCTTTTTACCAATTTTAATAAATATTTTCATAATGTCCAGCAAACTGCTGCAGCCAACTGTTAGTCTTCTGATTATTCACAGCTTAAAATGCAACTCATTGTTTTTCAAATACAAAAAAACTATGAATAAGGAAAATTTAAAACTCTGATTGAGTTTTACCTTATTATAAATGCACACGTTAACAGATCCTCTGAGAATAATGAACCAACAATTTCCAGGATCACCTTGTTTAAAAAGGATTGTTCCGGCATGCTGATGTTGCTCATAGCGAATTACCGCTGCTAATTCCCGTTTCACCATCGTGCTCAAATGTGCCAATGCTTTGATGTTCAAAAGTTCCTCATATACAACTTCCAGTTCCTCCGCCGTTCTCTCAGAAGGCCTGAAGAAACTTTCTAAACGTCTATATGACCACTGTAAACTTTATTGCGTAGATTTAAAAGAAGATAGCTTGAATCAGTAAACAAACTACACTATTCATATAAATCTTAACTTTCCCTTTTGGTCACTTCCTTACGCAGAAAAAATTGCTCATTAACTGTTCAACATATAGAGTAACAAAAAGAGTAACACTTTACAAAGAAATTAACAAATTCAAAAATATTTTAAAACACTTTTAGAAATGCCGTTTTGAAGATAAAATGTAGATAATATGACCATTAAAAGTCTCAGTTCAAAAATCGACAGATAATTCACCAACAAATTTAAGTATGCTAAATTTATGCAAAATCCGGTTTCAAACTCAATATTTTGCACATTCATAATACTAAAGGCTTTCTTTTGTGTAAAATTTGTATATGAGCTCGTCTGCTAATCATACACATATTGAATCCTACTAAGCAATAATTTGCCACAGAATAACTGTTAAAGTAAGATGAAATCTGGTAGTCAAAACAAAGGTGCTGTATTACTGCACTGTTTCCATTTCTACGTACTAAAAAAAAGAAAAAAACTTGAAAGCGGCAATAACATTTACGGTTTTTCAAGAACCATTCGAAATAGTGCATCTGGTCCAATTGTACTTAGGCTGAATATCGCTGACGCAACGTCGTTGATGTATGGTGTTTTCGGTAATCCACCTTCAATTAGCCCCAAGTCTCCATTCATTTTACTGAAATCAATTCCGGTAAGTGACAATTTTATAATGCTTCTTGCCTCAATTAAAATAGGTGACAAGGAATTAAAAACTACAAAAAAATCAATTATCACGAGATAGAAGAAATGTTTACGCTGCCAACTGTAATTCTGCTTCTTCGTTAGTCCACCGATAAAAAACATGTTTATCGCTAAACTGTTGTTCACTTTTCACTAAAAATTCAATATGACTTTAAAAAAATCAGAAAGTTTTGTCATTACTGCCCTAAAGGCTATTCATAAAGTCATTCCATTTGATGATGACAAGCTATATTTCAAAAAAGAATAAATTTACAAGTTAATATAAGAGCGGGTTATTCACCATGGGAGATGATACCATATTCCAGAAGCGCTTGCCACATCCCGATGATATGTAATCGTGTTAATGAAGAAACATTTGAGTTCAATGTCTCAACAACAAAATTGTGGAGCCAGTCCACCATTTCTGTACCAACCATACATGCCAGGTGAATCTAAGATAGTCAGCAATAGAATGCATGAACACTTACAAAAATGATAAGATCTAGATAAAATAGTTTAGTTTCAAGTTACAAACCCCTTTAAATTCCTACAGTGCCTTTGTCAAAAAAAGACGTTAAAAATAAACTTTAAATTATCAATGTATACTTTCTAAAATGTTCCTGATTATCTTCTTTGAAAGACTTTTGCTACAAACATAAACTGTCAGATATAATGTATCGTTGTAACCAAAGCAAAGTTATTAACTTGGTTATATCCTTTTCTATCTTGTATTAATCCGGGCGCTTGAGTTTGCATAGCTCTTTTCAGTATTAAACCAGCTTCAACTACACGTAACTCCAATGACTAAAAACTTAAAAATTGAGAAAGACAGTTCAACGAGTATTCAAAAAATAATTCAGAAAAAAAAAATGCTTTTCAGTGTCTCATACTAATGAAGCGTCTTTTATATAAGAAGGAATTTTCAATACAACAGCCTTACCATAAAAATCATTTTTTTGACATAAAATATAGAACTACTCAAAAATGTTCAAGAAGTTAATAAGCACCCTGCAACAATGAGTTCTCACCGTAGTGTTTCTTAGTTCAAATAAGCTCGACGGTTGCTCTCCGCAATCTTCCGATATTGCATCACAGTTCGCAACGTCATAATCATGAGCGTGAGATACTGATCTCGGCAGATCATTCGCTAATTCCTGTACTTCTTTTTGCATTTCCCGAAATTCAAAACCTGCCATATTTCCATCTACAACAAAAATTAAAAGTACTGGTAAATCCATAATAGCCATTTCATTAACAAATCTGCTCTAAATTTCAATGAGGTACTATCTCAAACAAAATATTTCAAAGAAAGTATTATTTTAAAATTAATCCAACCGCAAGTTACTCGTATTTACAACTCACTGGAAACTGCAGGTATCAAGTCTTGTAAAATAGTTAGGTACGGTTGCAAATAATCAGCGTACTTCTGAAAATATTCTCTACAGAAAGTGAACTTTTTTTATCTGTATGTATGAGTGTTTTGCAGACTGTTTTCCATACAAAAAACTTAAGGCTGACAAAAAAGCAGACTCCTCGCTCTCTCCTAGAAATGGATAAGGACAGATAAAGACTGGTGAGACAAGAACGATCTCTTATCCAAATCAAAGCCTTATGGTAACTGTAGAACCTGAGCAAAAAAGTTGCTTGCAGCTCGGCTACATTTTCGCCGTGAACGTGAGAAAGTTTGTAAGATGAAATCCATGGTGGTGTTTCAGCGTTGATAGCTTCCTAGACAAATCTGAACCAACTAGCAACCAAAAAAAGCAATCCTTTATAACAGTACGTTGAGTGCTTCTAATATTTTACAAATTTCAATGAGATAGCAGGCCAAGTGTTGATATAGATGACGTGGCGTACAAATTTAAACGAAACAAATTATGCCATTTGTTTTAGTCCTTACAATTTTATTTACAGCTATTTTGGCAGAAGAAGATTTATCAACAAAATTCTGGGCAAAAAAAATACTCATTTAAGAATTCTTAATGAAAAAAATACTTTTTTAAAAATTTTTTTAATAGGTTGCATTCTAGAAAAAAACATTCAGTTGTGACGCATAAAATTTTGTTAATTAGTGACCCCAGATTTTGACAAATACAATTAAGCCTGTTTCTTTCCTTAAAGCACAAGAAGTCTCATATTCTAAAAAAACAACAAAAAAAGGGTGGAATCGAAACTGGTAATAATTTTGAAAACCTAAGGCTAAAATCTGAGTTTAAATCTAAAATTCCACAGTTTCTCATCGACAGCAACTAAAAGCCTTTTATAAATCTAAGTCTGTTTAGACTGGAACTGTTTGGTATAAAGTTTCTAAAACATTACCAAATCAAGCTACTGCCACCTCTTATCGTGATCTGCGTCTCAGAAATAAAACTATAACATAAAAGTGAGAAAAAAAAATAAAAACAAGATTAAATTTACAGAAAAACAAAGGACACTTATGCAAAACTTCCATCTAACGCTACAAATTACAGATAAAACAACAGTTGTAACAAAAACTGCTTTACTATTTTGAAGAAGAGAAAATACAAAGAACAGTTTCTGAAACATTTATATTATCAACAAAAGTGTCGTTTTTTTAATTTTATTAGAAAAGGCTTCAATTTTGTTAGCTGTTCAAAAACGATGAAAAAAATGACAATAAATCATTCAATGACAGAAAAGTTTTTAAACGAAAAATGAATTGACGAGCAAATAAAGAAACCGGGCAACAAGCAATACAAACATAGCAACTGTGTTAAGAATTCTAAAATCTTTAATATTGAATTTATTTTGTAAAAACACTTGCAAAAAAAAAAGAAAAAACTATTAATGTTTCAATTTTACAATGGAAAATATTCCTGGAATTAATATTGTCGAATGTTCCTAATCTTTTGTAATGTTAACTTATAGTTGACTTAATCGTAAATAAGCTAAATTTTTTTCTGATCCAGTAAACATACCTCCCATTTTTCAACCTAATTTCTGAATACAAATAACTAACTTTCGCTGATACAGCTTTAGTATCAAAGCTTCTAATGCTATATTCAAAGCTACCTTCATTAGCATAATGAAAAGACAGTCAATTCCTGACCTAACTATCCTAAAAAAACTCTTGCAAAAAACTCAGAATTTAAACTCAACAATAAGTTACTGTTAGCTACAAGTAATGTCAACTAATTGATTGTCCAGAAACAATGCTCATCTCAGATTTACAGTGAATTGATGATTTATTCCGTATAAAAAATCTTTCCTAGCAACGAGAAAACAAAAAGCAAAAACAATAAACAATTGTTCAAAGAAAGTGATAAATTTAGACACCAAAAACTTTGCCAAAATAAACCTAAAAAAAACTGCAAACTTTTTTAAATTCAGTAACTGTTAAAAGCCAAATTGACATAAATCACTGACAAAAAACCAAAAAAAATTAAATAAATTTGTAACTTTTTTCAGAAAAAATTTAATAACAACAGTTTTCAATCTGAGCGGTGAACACAGTTCATCTACATATTGAAGATCTAAATTGAAACAAACCCCCAAAAGCCAAGACGTCGACAAGTGTAGAACGAAACACTGAGCATTTACCTAGCAGTGAGCAAACTTTCAAGTACTCAAATTGTCGTTTAGGTTTGTGATAGCAAATATGGCTCAACAACATTTATCCAGCTGTACGAACTATAAAATAACAGTAACCACATACATCTTTTTCAATCCGACCTTTACTAAAAAAAGGGATCAACCCTGCTAAATACAATAAAAACTAGTCATTTTCCAGAAGTTCGCTTCAAAAATGGTAATCCAACTCTTTACAGCATGTATTTAGAGAAAAGATAAGACACGCAACATTTTTTAGAAGGAAAAGGGGCGGAGAAATAGACAAGTCTTTCTCCTCCGACAACATTTCCTCAATCATCACACTAATAGATTCAACGCCATACAGAGATTGGTGAATGTTAAATCTGAATTTTTAACCATTCTTTATAACACCTAACTATTACTTATTTACAACAGAACAGCGTAACGTTTCAGGAGTCTTTTGATAACAAAAAAGGTTCTTTACAGGAAAAACAATTCCTTTTTTTCTGTCAGCACAACTAATTTCCAAATAAATCAAAAATTTTGAAAAAAAAACTTTTTTTTTCTAATAATTACAATATCAATTCTCTCGTTCCCTCTCCTGTTCCTTTTTGTCTAGCAAAAGAAAAAAAACAACTTACGTTATAAAGTGCAATAAAGTGATTCTGGTTTACTGAAACAAGCTCTGTCGGTTTGGTTGTTCGAGCTGAACACGAATGATAGAACTCCGATAGCTCACCAAACAGTGAGATAGCAGTAAGTGTTTCAAGCGAAACGTCCAAATTCTAAACACAATACTTTTTTTAAAAATTTTAAGCAAAAAGAGGAGCACTGAAAAAACCTATGAGTTACTGCTATTGCAAACAGTAGAATTCTGAATTAACTACGAAAAAAATCAAAAACTGTCCTACGCAGCAATAAATAGCACCTGTCAAAACATCACAGATTTTTAACAAAAAAAAAAGCATAAAAGACTGCACTAACCAAATAATAATATTAAAGAAGTGAAACTTTAAAACATAAATATTTTTCGTTCAAAATTATTCCCCTTTTTTCTAAAAATTTTTTTTAGCATTTAAAAACTGATTACAAATATTCCAGTAATTGTCAGTTGCGAAAAACCGAAAATACGTAATAAATGACAGAATAACATAAGCTGCAAAACAAATTTAAAAAAAATGAAAGAGTAGTAAAGAAAAAAGATGTTTTACTGATACAGACCAAAAACTGCTCTTACAAATCGCTGAGAAACGAATAATTTCTGCAGTTTCTTTTCAAAAACAATAGCAAACTGAAGTTTGCTTTTAAAAAGTCGCGGTTTCGAATAACGCCTAACAATTTGTACAGGAAAAAAAAGATAGTTACAAGAAGCAAAATTTTGAACTTATAAAGTAATAAAATGCTTTAAAATGACAAAAACGGATGCCCTTTAACAATTGATTCAAAAATTTCCAATTCCTTAATCTGAAGCGTTTAAGCAAACAAAATTTCATAAACATCCCTTCCACAGTACTGACAACTGTTATGACGATAACCTTTATTGCAATTACTGGCATAATTACTGTTTTACTGCTATGAAATATTACTGAAACATTGCGTGGCCATCAATAATTCATAAAGAATAAAATTCTGCATAATATCAGTAACCTTTCTGCACATATCCACTACGGTAACTTTTAATATTATGTGTCTTATAATTTCATCCACACAATTCTTACAACCAAAAAGAAATGCTGTTTCATTAATGATTTACTACCAAAAAATACAAAGTTTTTCTGACCATTGTCGTTAATGCTATAAATGTGACGTTTTTTCGACCAGCTTAGCTCAGAAGCTCCTATCATTCCCTTTTTTAATGACAAACTCTAACTGAAATGACACCATAAACAAGCAAAAAAAAAGCAGAAAAACAAATGAGTACACCTAATAAATTATAAATATACGTATGAAAATGATATAAAGTTTTTCTCATCTTAAAATTTCAAAAAAAACAAGTCACTTCTTTTCTTTTTTTTCTTGGTTCCATGAAAAAACCAAAATTTTTCTTTTCTTTATTTTCTCTCAAGTTGTTCTCGAAGCTTCTTCCATCAATATTCATTTTTTATACAACGTCTCACCATTATAAATAAAGCAAAAACAACAAAAAAAAGCAATAAGAGAAAAGAAGCACTGCATATTATATGCCAAAAACAGCAAATATACAACAGACTGATTAAGGAAAAACAAATTTCAGCTCATCATATCGCATAAACGTAAAAATTTGTCTCAACTGACAGTATAAAAACTATTAACCCAAAAAGTGTCATTATTAAAGCTAAAACAAAAAGAAGCATTTTGATGTACAATTATTAGCGAAAGTAAAGCGAAAAAAAACGAAAAAAAATAACTGTAATAAAAGAAGCTGTTTGAAAAATGTTGATAATTATTGAAAGACATATAAAACTTGATTACCATTTTTAGCCACTGTTTTTATGCTTATTTATGCTTCTCTGGAATACATCCTAGCCTTATTTGACAAATTTTCACTTCCCTAGTAACATACAGTTTAAGATAAAGAGAGTTAAGACAATTTACGCTTTTTTACTAGCTTAAAATAGCAGAACGTAGACCAGTCAGTTCATTTGATCACCAATTCGTCTATGTCGAATTATCATTTATGAGCAACAAAAAAATACCACCATTTTTATATGAATGATAATCATTGATTTTTTTTTGTACTATCCAAAAGAAAACAATATGAACCCAAAGCAGTATCTTTCTCTACTTAATATAAAAAAAATTCGTTCTAGACACATAAACTGTTTACTCAGCAACAACAATTTGAGCGAAATTAATAACTCCAAATACTGCTTGCTAACATACGTCAAATTTTTTCAAAAAAAAATTTTTTTTTTTATTATTACCAATACTAATCAGAAATTTGAACCGCCAGCTACACAGCATAAAGCTCATAGCAAATTATTAAAAAGACAAAAACAAAGAAAAAAAAACAAATTTTTGTTAAAGTTCCACATAAATACAGTAAAAAATAAGCGCACGAAAAAATACATCAAATTAGCCAAGCTTTTCTCACTTTCCTTTAGCATTTGGTTCTCCTGCATTTTCCTCCTATGTGATTAAGGTTTCTGTACTGCCAGTCAAAAAAACTACCAGTCTACAATTATTGCCTTCAAAGTTCAGTGATAGCCTCTTTATAAAATTAACATTTTTTAGCATCTAAAGAAAAGTAAAATTAAATAAAAATATTCTAAAAATAACAAAAAGACCAGCACTATTTAATTGTTTGATAACAAAAACTTTTGAAACACTAGCCTCAAATTAAAAGTGAGTAAATAAATTACTGCCCGTGAATTATCGATACCAAAAAAGCAAATGAAATCGAAACTTTTTTCTAAATAAATCTTAATAAAGTAAAAAATTCATGTCGTGAAAAGTGAAAGAATTGTTTCAATCACTTTTTCAATCAAGTAGCAATCATAACCACAACCATATCAAAGCAGATTCAGTTTAAGTTTCAGGTTTCACTTCGAAAAAATCTACCAAAATTTCACTCCTACTCTTCAATAAAAATCTGTAATTGAAGTATCAACACCTCAACTGAATTTATTAATGTTTCAATTTTACGTAAATTTTGTGCAGCTTAAACAGAAATAATTCCAAAGAATTATAAAGTGCTTGCGAAATCGCTTCCACCTTCCAGTTTTCATCAGCTACTTCTTTGTCTATCAGAATTGGATCAAATAACTGAACAACCAATTGTTTAGCGTCATAACCAAGCACCAAAAATAGCTTCAAAAAAGTTGAACAACAGCATCGCAGTAACAAAAAAAAAGCACTTTTTCTTTTGACACTTCATTTGTCCAACAATAACGAAGTATCCTTAAATCCAGTACACCGTTTGATTAGGCACAAATAAAGACGAAGCTACTGTTGACGCTACTTCTACTCGGAAAAAAAAGAAACGAAATTTTTAAAACGAATAACTGACCTCTTTAGACGGTAAGAACAGTTCAACCTCGCCAGACAGCAGTAAATACCATGCGAATACCTGTTCACCCTGCTGAAACACTAAACAACGCAAAGTTAGCAAATTACCAAGCAACAGTTCAGAGAGCCTTAATCTAAGAAATTTAAACAGAAATGAAGCACTTCTGCGCCCAAAAGCAAGAAGGAAAAGATATTTAGAATTATGAAAGTAGCTTTTGATTCCCCCAGAGAGAATGTAGCTTTTTTTTGGCGGTGAATGCAAGATGAATCAGTTACTTTTTTTACGACTACTTTCTAACAATCCGCCAGCTCGTTGTCAAATAAAAGATGTGAAAAACTTGAAAAAAGCCTTTCTTCGAGGATAGTAACAGATTATACCCTCACCGCCACCTTTCTACAAATTTCTTTTGGTATCCTCAACTAATGCAACGTTCCTTGTCAAAAACCATAAAAAAGTGCCAGACTAATAAAGCGTTACAGTAATAACAATAAAATTTGCCTTTTTTTTACGTTGCACCAAATACAGCAAAACAACCAAAATCTTGACTCTGTAAACCAATCCGATCAACCGACTGTTTCAGTAGAAACTGCGCTGATACTTCAGAACGAAAAAGTGTCATGCTAATACACCTGTTTGGCGATAGTTTATACGAAAAAAGTTTTAGCGATCCAGTTCACATGTACAGCTCCAGCAGTTAGTCTCCAAAAATGCATATTTTGTAAAAATAAATTCTTTATTTTTTTATTTTTTCACCAATATTCTCTAGCTGTATATAAGTTCTTCACTAATCAGTATATAACGAAAAAAATAATGCAGCAAAAAACTATCAGCTTCTGCATTTAATGCCTATGTGAACACCAACCTAACTTTTTAGCTTGTTTCTGTTTTTCTTCTGCATTTCTCCGTTCATGAACATCACTTTTATCGCAGTAATATATCTTGAGAAGCTCTTTTCTTTGCTTCTCCCAACAAGTGCAGCAAACAAAAAAGAAATCCTCTTTTCCTCTTTTTCTGGCCTATATAGTTCGAACTTTCTAATGCCTACTGCAGTCTTACAATTATGATTTTGTTCTTTTAGCTTCTCTTCCACCGTATCTGTCAGAACAAATTCATTAAGTTTGAGCCTACAGCCTCAGTATTGTTATGAAATATTTGAAAAATGTGTTGCTTTTTTTTCATGTCCATTGAGCATAAATTAAAAAAAAAAAAGAATGAGGACGACGGCGACGACGGTTGACTATGCCGGCTGTATCTTTATTTTTCACTTTACTTCCTGGCTACCTCAAACCGTCGTTTCAATCACTTTATTTACACTTTTTCCTTCTTTTTTATTTATACTGACAACTACACTACATTTAAGGAAGACATTAACACTGTTCTCTTCCAATTCTCTGCCTTCAGATTTTTCCCCCGGAATGTCTCTTCACTCGCTCCCTTCCCGTCTCCCCAAAATGAGCTTGTTTATTTAAAAAAATCCAATTCTGAGCTGACAATAATACTACGGAGTGTTTCTGAATTTCCTGAATAACAACAACAAAATTAACCAGAACAGTAAAGACTAAAACAAAAATTATGTAACAGGAAGGAAAATACTCTTGAAGAATTTTGTCATATAGAAAAGGATTAAATCACGGGCACCAAAACCGATACAACGCGAAACATAACTCTGAGGGGCTCAGATGTGGGAAAAATGTCAGCTGAGAGGAGTAAATTAGATTACTGACTAGACAATGGAAATTTTTTTCCCAACTATTACTGCATCCTTTTCCTTGTTCAAGAGCATTCCAGTAAAAAAACTCTTTTTCTTGTTTACTTAAAAATAACCCCGTCTCTGCCCTTAATTTTATTGTCCCACTCTCCCCTTAAACAGTCTGCTACAAAACCTTGTAATTGGTCACTGTAACCAATAGATAACTTGTTCTCCATGCATTCAACAACGAGGGAAAAGTAATGAAAATAACTAAAGCTTCAGAACTACTGGTTCACTGGAGGGTTTTCGTAATCCACGGCTTTGCTTCAAGCTTTTTCTTTGGCTCTCCTTCTTTTCTCGTATAGATTTTATTTATTTATTTATTTCCTTGCTGTTGTTTTGCGTTAAATGAAAACTGTGAAACAAGAAATGCTTTAAACATCTGCAAATTTTGATAATTAAAAGTTCAAAGAAAAAGTGTTGCTATAAATGACAAAAGATTCACTGAAGACAGCCACAAGAATTTTTGAAGCTTTTACATTTTTTGTTTCCATGTTCCAAAATAAAAAAAGACTAACACCATTACTAACATCACCAAAACAAGCAACATCTTCCTGTCGTATATGCCATCATTTTGTCCATTCAATAAAAATCTGATGTCAACATCAATTTACAGCTTGAACATTCAACCATGTCATTAAAAATTAAATTTTTTGGAAAAACCAACTCTCTGTTCTTCTGCACATTTTTGTCCCATTCATTTATTGCCCCTGTGCGGACGGCTTCTATGTTACAAATGCAAACTAAAGAAGCTGTACAAGAAATCTGCCAATACGCCCCCCCCTCCCCCTCCCCCCCGCCTCCCCCAAAAACACCCA